TTTCTTACTTTGCTAAATGGAAGTGCTTATATTATTTCTAATTTTGATTTCTTTTTTTGACTTATGTGATAATTTATAATGGATCAAACTTTACAAGCAGCCTAAGAAATGTTGCTAGTAAAATCTGTGTAATTTTTTCTCTAATGTTGGCTGATATGCATTTATAATTATGGGGGATAGAATTTGATCAATCGAATTAACTTTGTCAGGTTTTTTATTTATTCATTTTTTTAAATAAAAATGTTAAGCTAGTTGAAATATATTACAATTTATTCTTTTGGTCAGTTAAATAAAAAAAATTAAACTTTGAAAGAAGCTAATTTGAAAAAATAATGAATAAATGGTAGTACAAATAATTTCAAAATTGTTATAGCTGAAATGAAATAAAATATAAATGAATATCTCATATAAAACAAACCTTGATTTAAACAGATCATTGTTTCTTCATTGATCTTTATCTCTCCATTGATTCATTGATGCTGCATCTAACACACACGAAAAACTAGAATTCTTTAAGCTTGGAAGGAATACTCTGATAACAAATGATGGTGAAAAATCAGAAATTGGCAGCATTCCTCTCAAATTGTTTGATTTGAAACAGGAGCAGCAGCTAGTGAAGGTAAACAAGTATACCTAAGAGCAGGTACAGAAGAACTATGACAGCACCTACATAAGAAAAAACAGGAAATATTAAAAATAAAAAAAGTAAAACTATAAAAACACTGCATTTTTTTAATAAATAATGAAAAAAAACTTTTAAATTTAATAAACTTTTGACTTTTTTGAAATTAATAAAAAATAGATTTTGAAAGGTTATCATTTCGCAGCCCAAACGCTATCTGGACTGCATAACGTATGAGCAAATATTTCTCCAGAAATTATTTTCATAAATTCATTATTATAAAATATTTATGATATATTGCACTTTAAATATATTAAAACTGGTATTGATTCAATGGATAAAAAAAAATGTTTCATAAAATTTAATTAAATACTAATATTATAAATTTTAAACAGCTAATAATGATGCTAATTAAATAATACTTAAAAATACAGCATTTTACATTACAGAAAAGCAAGGGGGAGGTCATTCTTTAACTTATAATACTAAAATAAAATTTGAATGTTGCGTTTTTTGCCTGCTAAATGAAGTGGTAAAATAACATTTTTAAAAGCATATTTAAATTATTCAGCTCGTCTCTTCCTTTTTTATTATTTTGTTAGCATATTTAAGGTAGATATTTTTGAACTGTTTATTGAAAACATTAATTAATATTTAATGGAATAGTTAAATGCCATGAAATACATTGGACTGGTTCCCGTAATTTCAACAATGGGCTCCACAGTTTGTGCTTGTCCACAGCTGACATTGTTCCACAGATTGTTTTTTTGTTTGTTTCTTTTTCTTTAAAAAAAAAACATAGTTTGAACCAAGAAAAATATGTGATATTTATGATCAAGCTACAAGAAATAATAATTCCCTTTTTTTGCAAGATGTTCCCTAATTTTTACAAGAGAGCATTTTGACTTTGTGTCACTTGGCACATTTGAATTTGCTACGCATCTTTCTAAATCTAAGAGGAAAAATTGAATATTCATCTTATTAACACAAAAAATCTATCTTTAAAAATTAACTTGTAACTGTAAGAATGGATTTTAACTGCTGCAAAATGAAACGGGACAGGAAACAAACAGATTCAAAAAACATATAGTTTAGTTGCATATAGTATAGTTTATATTATTACAAAAATGTCACATATATATATATATGTATGTATGTAATGTTAAAACAATTATATATTATATATATATATATATTTTCTAACTAAAATATTGAGCTGAAGTGATGATAATTGTAACGATCAGTTTTGATGAAGCTATTAGCTGTTTGCAGCTTATAGCTCGCTTATAATGATCTGAAGTTCACTTTTATTTTAAACACTTGTGCGGAAGAAATTTTTTAAGCTTGTAGCTTACTTGTCTGCAAAACATTATAGAGAGTTAGATGAAAACATGGAAAAGTGGGATTAAACAAATGCTTGTGTACAAAAAGCTAATTTTACATTATTGCATATATATATATATATATATATATATTTTATATTTTTTTTCTAATATGCAAGTGCAATTTTTTTTAAATAATATAATACATTCAAGTTGAACTGTAAGAAATTGTATTGACAGTTACAGTAGTAACTCTATTTAATATATAAAAATATAGTTTTTATTTAGTATATAAAGTTGTTATATCATTAATTAATAAAGTATATAATTAAATTAGTTATAAATTAAAATAGTATATAAAGTTGTTTATATCGGGGATATTTCAGTATCGTGATCTGTGGCAGAGTAATCCCCAAGTCCTGGAAACTTCCAGGCAGTGGCCCGTGAAAAACTAAAAAGAAACGTCACAGAAAGGGACCAACTCGAAAGTTATAACTCGCAGCCACCCCCAAACATCTACATGTTTTGTTTATTTTTTAATTTGAAATTTTTAAAATCTATTTGGCACTTTAGCAATTGTAGTTGGCGCTACAGATCAGGATACGAAAATATCCCCTTTTATATCAATTCTTTGATTCAAGTATTCGTAGCCAAAGTGTACATATTATTAGAAACTTTAATTTTGCGTAGTCAATTAGCTACTTCTTACCTTAAGATAGGAAAAGTTTCGCTATTTTTTTAATTTTCTGTGATTACCCTTCTCTTTACACTTAATCCTGATTATTGGATTTTCAAGCATGTTCCATAATTCAATAAGGGGCCGTTCAAAAAGTATGTACACCCGAAGGGGTGAGGGGATTTGCTATTTTGTATGATGGGGAGGGGGGGAAGTTTTATACAAAGTACGTACATTATAAGCATACACCAAATTTAAATTTGACTTTTTCCTACACATGTATTATACATATGTTTGCTCTTGTATTTTTTTTCACACGGCGACCACTTGTTAGAATGAGTAAACCAGTTCTCAAAAAAAGTTGTCTCTCAAAAAATAAGAAATAAAGCAGAATAAAAAATTAAAGGGTTAGAGCAATATAATGTACGTACTCTAGGGGGGGGGGTAAGGCCTTATGTACGGTAATGTACGAAAAAGGGGGAGGGGGTTAAAATTTCTCCATTTTTGTGTACGTACTTTTTGAACGGCCCCTAAGCAGGTTCCTAGGAAATTGATACTCTTATACAAAAAGATATTTTAGTATTAAAAAAAGCACTGATAAACATATTTTTTTAAATAATTTTTAAAAAAACATACACATACCTTTTAAAGTAAATTTGATTTTTATTGAATAATAAATAACTTTTGAAGGATTAAAATTTAACATAGATTTAATGGTGTTTAAGAAAGAGCATTTTTTGTGCTTAAAATTAAACACCAAATTTTTTGTTATCTTGGTGAAACTGTGCAATCATAATTTTAAAATGTTACTACTAAAAGTTAGACAAAAAAAGGTTTCATTAGTAAGAATTCAGTTAAACTTGTAACCAAAGAATAATAAAGCAAAAATGTCAGAAAGATGACCCAAGCAATTTAATTGATGGCTAATGGATATTTTTTTAAATAATTAATTCAATTATTCTTAACGAAAAGTTTCATTGCAAGTAGCAATTCATCAAAAAAAGTGGAAAAATTCAAATTTCAAAACATAATAAAAATATCCTAGAGACTACAAAAATTAAATGAATGGTGGCTAATGATAATTTTTTAATAATTTATTTAAGTTTTAATATTGTTAGTAACATGGTAACAATGAGAGCCAACATCGATAGGACTCTGTTCCAATCTGCATAAAATGCAAAACGAAAATGAGCAGCATCTGTCTCTGCTTTAGCTATCCCTCACTTGCGATTTTAAACACCAAATTTTGCTGCAGCTCATAAAAAATAGAAGCTGCTTTCGACGGAACACTGTCTTAAGAAACTGGTATTATTTAGCCTTTTGCCCCAGATGTCCTAAAGAAGTGCTCATGCCTTACAAACCCTCATGGATGTTTAAGATGAGCAGGAATTGTGTAATTTGCTCTTCTAGCTATTTGCTTTTCCTGTTTTCAATTTTTTGCTTTGTTCTTAACTTCGTGGAATTTTGGAATATATTTTTTCTGTTATTGTTTTTTTTATTTCAGTTAATTGTTAAATAAATTAGGGTAATTCTCCATTTTGCCGGAGCAGGCGATAAAGTCACTAATTGAAACTTAATGAGTGCAAGTAAATTCAACTGTTTTTTTATTATTTATAAGTGACTTTNTATTTTTTTAAATAATTAATTCAATTATTCTTAACGAAAAGTTTCATTGCAAGTAGCAATTCATCAAAAAAAGTGGAAAAATTAAAATTTCAAAACATAATAAAAATATCCTAGAGACTACAAAAATTAAATGAATGGTGGCTAATGATAATTTTTTAATAATTTATTTAAGTTTTAATATTGTTAGTAACATGGTAGCAATGAGAGCCAATATCGATAGGACTCTGTTCCAATCTGCATAAAATGCAAAACGAAAATGAGCAGGTCTCTGCTTTAGCTATCCCTCACTTGCGATTTCAAACACCAAATTTTGCTGCAGCTCATAAAAAATAGAAACCGTTTTCGACGGAACACTGTCTTGAGAAACTGGTATTATTTAGCCTTTTGCCCCAGATGTCCTAAAGAAGTGCTCATGGCTTACAAACCCTCATGGATGTTTAAGATGAGCAGGAATTGTGTAATTTGCTCTTCTAGCTATTTGCTTTTCATGTTTTAAATTTTTTGCTTTGTTCTTAACTTCGTGGAATTTTGGAATATATTTTTTCTGTTATTGTTTTTTTTATTTCAGTTAATTGTTAAATAAATTAGGGTAATTCTCCATTTTGCCGGAGCAGGCGATAAAGTCACTAATTGAAACTTAATGAGTGCAAGTAAATTCAACTGTGTTTTTATTATTTATAAGTGACTTTAAAAAAACAGAAAAACAAATAATAGATAAATTAGCCAAAATGAAAAAGTACCTAGATTAATTTAAAGTTATTTCTGTCCTTTGCTCCATATTCTTCCAAATCACATGTTTAGTGTTTGTGCAAATCTTAGTTATCATAGCCTAGTTTACTTCTGTATTGTAATGACAAGATTAAACTGGTCAGGTAGAAACATAGTATTGAGACTAGCATGTACCATTTCATGAAATATGACTCAATATACTAACATTTATATGTATTTTTGTTGTATCTATAGGCAGGATATGTCAGTAGATAAATGTATGTAGATTGAATTNTTAGAATATTAGAGAAGAAAACATATTTTCTTGCATATCAAAATTTGGTAATCTGAATTTCAAAATATTTACACACATTTAAAAAATATATTTAAGAATTACTACCCATAAAAATATATGTCTAATAAGTCTAAATAAAAAAATGGAAATAATGCAAAAAATTATTACTGACATTTTAAAAATAAGTATAGTACAGTAAAAATCCAAAGCTTGCTAAAAATATTTTATGTTTAATTTGTTTTATCTCTTAAATATCAGATTCCACCCTAAGATTTTGACAGTTTCACTCAGCTTTCACAACTTTGTTTCTTGAAGAATCTATACATAAAGACTTACTACCTGAAGGTTTTCATCCAGTTTGGCCCATGACGTAAAATAATAAAACATTGAAAAAGGAGATTATTTAATTCAAATTATTAAAATTTTCAACTTAAACTGTAAGTTAAATTACTTCAATTAAAAAATATTAATTCGAATCATGAAACGATATCAAATATTTAAAATGATTATAATAATTTTGCTTTTAATGATTGTGAAAAGAGTTAATAAAAATAAAATTTTTCTAAATCAATTAATTTTCATTAAAAATAATTTTTATTTTCATTTAATATTTTAAATTTTCATGAATTTTCATAAAAACTTTTTTTTATGGACCTGATACAATCTATACTTTTTTATTTTTTGCAGAAGACAAAGTATTCAAATTTCAAATGTTTTTCATTCCAAAATATTGTGCATTTAATAATCTAGAAATATTATAGAAATATAAACATAGTTTAAGATAGATTTGTTTATAAATTTTAAGGTGAATTACTTACAATATTAAATAAAGATTACATTGGGGAAAAAAATTTTTGTTACACTTATACAGAAACTTGATCATGCCTAACTCATGGGTGGAAATTTCAAATCAGAAATTAGCTTTGTTCTTAAACCTACAGATTGTCTTTGAAATGATATTTTTGTCGAAACGTACAAGTTTTTAAAATGTCATGTATAACAGGGGTTCACATAAATATTGTGACAAACTTCTAGGGGAGTTGGGCTTAACTGCATTTCAAAATGAAAATGTATATACTTTGGAATATAAAGCAGATATGGTATAAGAATCAATGAGAGATAAAATTTTATGCATTTGATTATTAACTTCCAATAATTTGTGTGACGGAATGACACATCTTCGGCGATGGAATAACAAAATGAGTCCTACAGAAGCTTATTCAGAAACTAGAGAATCATTTCTTTTTCAATTTACCTAATGGCTAAAACAGCTATTGGAAGACAGATAGAATGTTGAAAAGAAGCAAGATCCCCATGATATGATGAAAAAAAAGACAGAGAAAGAAAGGCAAAGAAGAAAGTTTACATGACAAATGCTGGACTTAAAAGACTTAGATGTGCAAACGCTGTAGTGCAAAAATTGTGTAAACAAATAAAAAATCAAATTCTACCAACCTCTTCACATACAATTAATTTAAATTCCTCATACAAATCCTGGCAGAGTCTCGGTAAAGTAATAAAAAAAGTTGTACACTCACTTCCAAAATCACCAATAAAGGCAAAAAAAAACAATTATTTAATCTTTATGTGAGAAGTATTTAACATCAAACTCAAAAGAAACTAATTTAAGTGCGAAAAGCAATGTTGATGAGCTGTTTAATTTGGTTAAAAAATTTACGATCAAAACAATGTTAGTTACCAGGTATGAAGGATTCAGTCATAATACGAACTCTGACAGAGTAACAAAGAGTGCAGATGCAATATATGCTTATATAAGTAACAAACAGTGGAAGTTTTGATTCTGACCAGCTATTCTATTTAAGAGAGGGCAAAAGAAAATGATTTCAGCTGGTCTCTTGTTACAGCAG